GGGTTCACATGAAAGTTGTACGTCATTATAAGATATTAGGCACAAGGATCTATATAATTAAAAGATTGTCGTGTGTGCATGCGTGGGAAGCTTTTAAAATGTCATTAAACTATGCAAAAATGAACTTAGGAGTAGGAAAGTACGGACGACGTCACAATATGCGTAAGGAAAGGGTGGGTGTAGATGGTATTATGCATTGCAAAGGGAAAGGTAATTAAGGAACAGATCTGTTATATCTCAAAGCCCCGTATCAGTGTTTCAGTGTTAAGGTTTTGTGTGTGAAGTTCTTCATTTGTTTATAGACACTTGAGTACCGGTACTGTCACCCTGTTGAGTTTTAATACTTGTTCCCGATATCCAGGTTTTGATAGCGTCACTATATCTTGTGTCTCTTATTAGATAAATCGATTGGTTTGTCCTTTTTTGATCAAACCATTCAGTTCAAAGTGTCTTTTGTACTAGAGTTGTTTGGTGGGTATCACATGTTGTGGAATAGGTTTAACCTTGCAACCATTGAGACGCCCCGCACGGCTATCATATTAGTTCAGAACTCTACCTACATAACCTTGACAGGTCACATTAAATACACAGCAATGTCTTTACATTTTATAAACTTAGAGCATTCAAAAACAAGATACCAAAACCAAAAAAAAAAAAAATGTTTTGTGCACGAGTTTTCCTCCCTTAAGTTTATTATGATCAGATGTTGGAGACAAGGAAAGAATCATAAATCACAATCCGGTTTTAAGTCTATGGAAACTATTGTATATAAAATAATCAGATGTTAAGCACAAGGAATTTGTTTGTTTGTTTTAGAGCAAAACCACACTGGGCTATCCGGTGTGTCCACTGCGGGGAATCGAACCCCAGAGTTTAGCGTTGTAAGTGCATAAACTTACCGCTGTTTCACCGAAAACAGCACAAAGAAACATAAGTTTATCATGTTCAGTTTCTTGACATATGAAGAAAACTGTGTGTCACGGTCTGGTATTGAACAAAATTGTACATCATAATTATGTAACTGGTAAATGTGTATTAAGGTTTCAGTTGACTTAAACGTGTTAGTTCGTAACCTTTTGGATGTTTCTCCGTATAACAGTTTGATGTTGAGGCTCAATGCTATGATGTTTAACCAGTTTTGTTGCCAGGTGGGATTTCCTGATTATGTTAACTGTATATATATACTTTATAGATGATTTAGGCAGCTTTCATGCTGAACAAACGAAGATGAAATGGGCAGCAACTGCCTAATACAGTGTGATACTTGTGGAGAAAGTTTTGTAGGACTAATCAACAAAGTAGAACAAATGGAAAAGGACCTGAAGTCTTTCGAAACGTCGTCTTTTTTCATATGTGCTACTTTTGTAGGTTATTACCTACAAGATTTTGTCCACAAGTATCACACTGTACTGGGTAGTTGCTGCCTATTTAACTTTTATATGTTCAGAATATGTTTTTTGTTTAATTAGGCTTCGTATTAGACCTGCGAGGATATACCATTGGCATCACTGATTTTCGTAACTACTATATATATAAGGTACAGTCAGTAAATTAAAAAGTTAAAAAATGAGAGCGATAAAAAACGCGATGCTGTCATAAAATATGTTGGGTGCGAATGTTGTTTTTTGCTTTATTTTCTAATTAATCTTAGGTTTCCTTGAAATACGTATACTATTCAGGCTATTAATAATAGACACACTAGATTCGTAATTGTTGATATAATTTAAATAGTTCTTAAAATAAACTAATAAAATAATATTAAACCAGGCTGAAATAACTTAGATGTTAACTACAAGAACTATCAGATGTAAGGGTCCACAAGAGAAAGCAGGTCTCAACCCGGCGGATTACTGATTAAGGACCTCAGTGTTCTAGTGTTTTGGGGAAATGTAAAATACTTAAAATATATAAAAATAGTAGGATGACTTCGAATTTCCTTAAGATTAAACTAACTTTCAATAGAATTCATACTGATATTTAACGG